CGCCGAGCCGATCGAACGTGCTTCCCGCGGACGATGCGCCGATACGATTCGCGCGCCAATTTTCACGAACTAGCCGGTTGCCGAGCGATTTCCAAAAATAAAAACCCCTCGAGAGCCCCTTTTCGCCCCGGCAGGGAAGAACAGTATCGGTTTATCTCGATGTTTATTAACGAGTCGCCCACTGTTGTTCGTTGAACGCGATCTTACTCGCGTTTCCAGTCCACCCTCTTCAGGTATTTAGAAGCGAGCTCGAGAAGCAGCACGGAAGACCGTATAATAAAACGGTATTAAAATATGCCGCGTTCCGTGCGACGATCGGAGAAACTTTGAAAGAACAGCAACGCGCGATCGGTGGACATCGGTGAAATTAGAAACTGCCGTATCATAAAACGGATTATCGAAATTACAGTCGAGATAGTATCCAGCATTTACGATACATCTGGTCGATAGAAACGAAGAATACTTTGGGGGCACGAAAGGGTCGCCTCCGCGTTTACGATAGTCGCTTTCCACCGTACTCGGTTGATTCTCGTTCTCCTCGCGACGATGCAATCGGCTCGAACGATCTTGCGCGCTCGAGAAAGCCGCGAGAGAAAGAGGAACAGACCAGAGGAGAAAGGAGGAGACCACGGAGAACGCTCTCGTCCACCTCCAACGTGCCATTATTTTTCCCTGTAATCTTGCCCAGCCGGAGCGAGAGAGATAGAGAAGTTTTTTTTCGATCCTCGGGTTATGTACCAGCCCGACGCGCGAAGCGGATAAAGCGCGTTCACGTGCGTGAACCGCGATGGAAACCGTTAGCCGTGCAACTGCGTTCGCGAAACCGTGCTGTTATCGTTAGAGATGGGATCCAAGAAGATTCGCAACTGCATTTTAACTGCTTAGTACGGGCAAATAAAGAGAAACGAAATATGGTACTTAGATCCAAACGCGAATTAACGATCCTTTATTATCTTCGAATTTCGAACGTCTACCAGTGTCCGAATATTGGAACATTCCAAATTATTCCGATTCTACTGGTACTTCGAATATTCAAATTTTACTCATAGACACGATTAACTGTCGTGCCCGCGCAACTTCGGGCGCAAGTCGAGGGGCAGTGAGCGGTTGCACGGTAGCCGAACCGAAAATTGAACTAGCGATCGGGTACTCCGCAACAGGCGCGTGTTCACCTGCAAAAATTGCTCGGCGTGCGTGCGTGCGGAGCACTCAGGGTCCCAAGCAGCGGAGGATCCTATGCAGGTGGGTACGACGGCCCCTGGAGAATGTTCGTACGCGAGGGCAGGTGGGGTGTCCCGGGTACCACCTCGCGGTGTGCCGGCGTGCCGGCCAACGAAATATCGCTTAGCGGGGAAAGAAGAGCATAGAATAGAAGACGGACAGAGAAGGTAGACACGGTAGCAAGGGTGGGGAAGGAGAGTGCTATACAGGGTGTCTCGCGGAAAACCTCGAATATTGCGTCAACTGTCCAGCGACGTGTCACGTACCCCGATCGATCTCTTTTCGATTCGACTCTTGTATAATACGCGCACGAAGAATACCCGCTCGATCAAATGACGCTGCGTTTGCTGTACAAGGGTTAATCATTCTTCTCCTCGAAGTAGGCATAAACACGAATTGCTGTTGCGATCGTTGAAAGAACGCGGCATAGAAGGAAAGCACCCGAGGGTACAGTGAAAATGGACATTCATTGTCAGACGCGTCGATCGTACGATAAACGCGTAATTATACGATCGATTAAATTTCGCGTCGTTTCCCGTTGAAACCTTTCAACTCGAAGATTTTATTTCGGTATTCGAAACGTCCTCTCAAAGGGTTATCGTTTCTTTCTTATATCTCGCAAAATCGAAGAGAATAAACAAAACGGAGCTCTGTTCCGAAAATCGTTTTATAAGCCGCGACTTCGATTCGGAATCGTAAGAGCGAGCGAATTCCGCGAAACGCCCAGCCGTCGGAGGGTGAAGATGGTCCCCGAAAGAATAGCGCGGTTGCATAAAAATGGAGGCGTCTCGCTTACCGAACGTTCCTCGCGAGACACCTTGTAGAGGGGAGCGAAGAGATGGAGGAGAGAAGAGGAGGTGGTAGTAGCAGGTCTGGTCGTACCCGCGGATGATCCTCAGGTTGAGTCGCGCTGGGTTCAACGTCCTGGCGGGCAGCGCACCCGAGAGCCGAGGCAGGCAGCCGAGCAGCCACCAGACCTCTCTACCAACACGCGTACACACGCATACCCACATACACACATACAGATTCGCGTACACACATAGACGAGCGCGCGCGAGCATGTTCGCGC